TTACGTAACGTCCCGCATTTAAAATTAAAAACGCAAAAAATCGTCTCCTCTTTGCACTAAAGTGCCATCTCACTTGGCTTAGGGCACACTTTTAACACCTAGGCACCAAGTGAGATGACGCCTCTCCTTTAAAATAAGGTGTAGGCGCCAATTAAGATGACTCCTCTTTTGTGGGGTTTTCTGAAACATGGTTATTTGCGTAATTTTCTCCGAAACATGATTATTTACGTTTTTTTTTTCAAAACCTGATTATTGCAAAAAAAAAATTCCATTAAAAATGTCTATTGAAAGAATTTTGTATTTTAAATCATTTAAAATATTAATATATATTTATTATATTTAAATTATTTACTTATTAAATAACTATTGATGATAATTTTTTTAAATAATTAAAGTCTGCTTAGTTATTAAAATTAATACAAAATCATTATCTTAACAATGATTATTTGTTAAAATAATACTCTAATAAAGTCTTTTTTATTTATGTTATTTAGGTTTGAAACATTATCTCTATCTCATATTAACATTGTTTTAGACAGTAAAATTAATATTATTAATTTTCAGATATTTTTATTAATTGTAACTAATAGAATAGTTATATAAAAGAAAATTTTACAAATAAAGTATATTTGTGAAGGCAAAGAGTAAATGTTATATATAGTTATCGCGAAGTTTTTATTGCCATTTCACGATAATTAATTTTTGTTAAAGAATAATGTTGTATTGATACTTGTAAAGTATTAAAAAATTCAGTCCAATTTGATTTAAAATAGATTAATTTTGTTTGATTTTTTTATATTCAAATTACAATTATAAAAATTTTATAATAAAATTAATATTATAAAATCAAAATAAAATAATTAAATATATTAAGAAAAATAACATATAAATAATAAAAACCAACAAACAATATGCAAAAAAATAATATATAAATATAAAAATAATTAATAATAAAATTAAATTAAATCTGATAAACATTATTAAAGAAATATTAAAACCAACAAATAATGGATTAGTAGAATATTTCATGGTAATAAATAAATAAATAATAAAAATAAATTGATAAGTATTATTAAAAAAATATTAAAACCAACAAATAATAAATATATAGAATATATCATGGTAATAAAAATTAAATAAATGTATGTATGTGATTTGGTTTAGTTTTAAAAAAAAATAAAATTTTTGGTTAAACTTGAATAGTTTTTATTAAAATATAGTTTAATGAACTTGAAAAAATACTTTTACAAATTTATTCAATAAAAAAATATCAATTTTCTTTTTTATTAAACTAACTTTAATGTATCAATAATTTATTGAAGGCATAATAAGTCTCTAGGTCCTTTAATTTTAAGTGAAGTTTCGTTTTGGTTTCTCAACTAAAAAATGTTATAAAATGATTCTTTAATTTTTCTTCTGTTAAATCATTTGGTCTCTCCCGTTAGTTTGGGTCAAAAAAATATTAACTATAGTTGAAGTGACATAACAACTAGGATGTTAAGTCAGAGGATTTATTTAAAAAATTGATATTTTATTTAAATTTGAAGGTTTCGTTTTCGAGGGTTAAAACCCCATACATATCGTTAATAATGTGCAAAAAAATGATAATTTTTTCTCCTTTCATTAATAATACCATTATTCTCCAATCAACTTTCAACATATACACAAAAAACAACACAAAACAATTAACAACAACACATACTTTTTTTTTTGAACAAGGCAAAAATGCATTAAAGAAAAACACAAGGTGTGCTAGCAGTACACCAGTTACAAACAAACCCAGGAAACACAAAATACTCAAAGCTATGACAATTGATATGCCTAAGTACCACCTAAGCCACTTCAGTTTCAAAAGGAAAAAAGACACTCCCAAATGCAAAGAACAAGCAAAGAGACACCCAATATTGAACTCATATATTTTTCGAAAAATTCTCCAATCTCAAATTCTACATTCCTGTATACACCTGCATCACATTTGAATTACTTATACAGACCCAACTAACATCTACAACCGAGTGAAAGATGATAGCAACCAAACAACACTAATAAATATCTCAGTTCCTTATGCATATGAATCAATATCAGTGCCTAATCTCAGTTCCTTGAAGCTTCTGTGCCAGTTGCCACCACTTATTGCCGGTAATGATGTTGATTCTCTCATTCTTTTCGCCACCACCAACAAGAACATTGCGTAGATTTTGAACAGTAAAGTGCTTGAAAAATATTGGGAATACAACAAATCAGTAATCTGTAAATACAAAAACCAGTAATCCTGCAAATATCACATACCTTGCAAAAAAATCAGTAATTTATAAAAACAAAAATCACCGTCAACATAGTTGTGGACATGATAAATCAAAGGGCTTGTTTGACTCACATAGTTAAAAGCTCTCTCCTTGTCCGCCTTTTATTTTAGTTGATTCTTAATCCAAAGAACAAGCATCTGACAAGAAGAACACAAACAAATAGCATGACTTCATCCACCGTTATTCACTCCATTTTTATGATGGTTACGCGGCTTTCTAATCTGACCGCGGACAGAAAAGCTAGCATACATTTTCAAAATTGCTTCTTCTGCATTCCTTTTTCTTCTTAAATACCACTTCACACATAAAAATCACAAGCTTTCGATAATGCCTTCGAGTTCAAAGTATAACAATAGTAGTAAAAAGAAACAATCAAAACCACAATAAAGATTATCAGACCAAAAGACTATAAATGACCCTAGGCATATTACAATAATCAGACCAAAACCAAATAATCTATAATCAAGTATTATTTGAATATTTTGTATTAACTGGATTAAAAATAAATAACTGAGAAAGGATAGAAAAAGAAATAGAAAAAGAATAGAGAACAAATTAAAGATAAAATTCATAATACTTAATTTAGGAAATTACAACATAGAAATAACATTAAACTTGCTGGAAAAAACTTAAAACAGAAAACTACAATGAAACTTGTGTATCCAGCAAATTCTTGACTCTTGAAGAAACTATTTTTAGGCTTTCATAGAAATAACATTAACTTAGTAAAAAAACACAAAGTAGACAACTACAATGAAACTTGTGACAATGTCATTCCATCTTTTGACAAGATGCAAACAAGATGCAAACAATAATCACAGTGATTGTTGATATGAAAAACATAAGTAAGACAAATCCAATACATATAATAACCATAATTACCATAATTTGCACTATGCAACCACAAATATGAGGGTGTAAGGTGGTGTTCAGAAGGGACATAAGTTTTTTAGAGAAGAGAAAAGAAGAATGAAGAAGGAAAAGAGAAAATGGAGAGAAACAGAGGTTGTGGCTAGGGTTAGGTGGAAGAGAGAAGAGAGACATTTGAATGTTTAATAAATAATTTTTTTAAAAAAAGATCAATTACAAAAGTCAACCAAGACTTTACATGTCCATTAAGATATTTTTTAACGTTTTTTCTTCAAAAACTAACGGTGGAGACCAAAATATGTAACAGAATATAAGTTAAGTATGTAACATTTTTTATTTAAGGGATCAAAATAAAATATTGAGTAAAGTTAAGAGACCGAAATAGGTATTAGGCCTTTATTGAAATACACTTAATCATTTATTGAATTGGTTAACTCGAAAAAGCAGTCTTTGCTTATTGGAGTTTTTTCATACATTCACTATGTTGAAAAGTGAATGTTAGCAATAGACAATGAATTGAAGTTAGTGTAATTTGTAATTGTAAACTCTATATTAGCAAGGGAGTCCGCACAACTATTCCCTTCATGAAATATGTGGAAAGTATGGCTGAAAATGAGTCGAGTTGAGTCAAACTCGCATCAGCTCAGCCCGACTCGTTAAAAATTGGTTCAACTCAAATATCGATTCAAGTTTGTTACGAATTTTTTTCAGCTCAAACTCGACTCATTAAAAGTTCACAAACAACTTGATTCATCTCGTTAGATTCATCTCGTTAGATTCAACTAGCTTGTTTTACTGATTTAAAAATCATTTATATATATATTTTTATATTTATTTAACATTTTAAATTAATATTTTTTAAACAAAAAATATAGAAATAAAATAAATTTGAAATTTATATGATGTTGATTTTATTTGTATAATTATTTTTAGAAATATTTTATTCACTTGAGAATATAAATTATAAATTAAAACGGTTATATTAAAAAAAATATGGCTAAGATTTGAAGCAAATATTTAAATATATTCTTAAAGACAATATAATTTATCTCATATATAATCGAGTTGACTTATGAATTTAATAAGTCGAAGCATGTATAGTTCAAGTTCAATTCATTTATTTAACGAATTTAATTTTTGGTTCATATTCAACTCATTTGATTCATGAATTTAGTTCAATGATTTAATTATCAAACTGAATTCTAAACTATTTTTGAATTGATTCGATTTATTATTAGCCTTAGTAAAAAATCACAAAAGAAAAACTTATAGAAATATTAACACAATTTATCTATCTAATACGAATTTGCTAAAACACTTTGAAGAGAGCCTTGAAACCTTGAGCCACACAATATAATCCAACTCTAGACAAATATTCATCCAACCCTTCTCAAGAGCGAATACTAATTTTTTTTAAAATTTTGTATATATAAGTCTTATTAAAAAAACTGGATGTTAGTTTTAAATTATTTTATAGGGTGAATATCAAAACACATTCAACAATATTTAATTTGAATGTAAATGTTAAACAATTTTAAAGTGTGGTTACATAAATATCTCTTTTTTTGTTCATGCCATTTTTTTAATACTATAAAAGAATCAAGTAGCCATTGATTTCATGGTGAGAATGATAAAATATAATATACAAAACCTTCATAAAAAACATTTAAAACATTTAAAAAAAAAAAGCACAAAAACATTAGAAACATAAATCTCTCTCTTTCTGGCATTCTCATCATTTACATTTCATATATTAAATAATCAAATCAATCACCCACCTCTTCTTTCTCAGATCTTCATCTTCTTCTGAGCTCCATATACAAAATGATCGGATCTCGTCTCTGCATCCAACCAATCACCGCCGTCACCTCCCTCACCGCCGATCACACAAATGCCGCCACCTCCCGCTCCGTCTCTCACTCCATCTCCTTCGATTTCTCCCCCATTCACCTCCCTCTCCTCCGCTCCCGTCGCTTCCGCTTCCCTAAACCCAAATCCTTCCTCATTTCCTGTAATTCATCTCCCATCAGATCCACTTCCGGCGACCACCACCACAACAACAACGACACCGATTTTCTCGAAGCTTCTCTCCTTCTCTCAGGTCCTCACTATTTTCCCTCTTTCTTTCTAGGTCATTTACACTATTCACCATGAATTCTTAAATTGACAAATAAATATATACAATGAAGCATTACTTATTGTCTATATTATTTTTTTGTGAAAGTTTTTCGAAATGATGATACAGTAGTGTGTGTATTATAGTAGTAACTGTGGTTTTTTGATCATTTAGGTAACTATCCATCATGTGTATGAATCGCTGAAATTTTAAATTACTTAAACTAGCGCAGAAACAATAACACACTATGGTATGTGGAGACACCGTTTTCAAGATGACTTACAGTGGAAATCACCCATCTCATCATTTCCACAACACACCTCAAGAACGGATAGTAGTTTATTAAGACAAGATCTTCTACAGACTTTTCAGAATCCCACCATTTTTCTCAAGATTTCTTGTGATGGGGACTATGTTCTGCCCATTGTTGTAGGTATGACATGTCTGTTCTGTAATCTGAGTTATTCTTTTCTTGGTTCTTTCTAGAATTTTTTTGTTTGTTGACTTTGATTCTTTGATGATGCAGGAAAGGTTGCTATTGAAAAGCTTATAGACGCGGAAGTTGAAGAAGAAAGTGAGGTAATTATTTGACTTGTATCCCAATGTTTGTGGACTTGATATATATTTATTTATTTATTTATTGTGATTGATCCTTATAAAATGGTGGTGATATTGCAGGATTTTCCGGACCAGTTCCAGTTTGTGAAAAATCTAGTTGAAAGACTAGACCATGAAGTATGGAGCTAAGCATTTTAAATTGATACCATTGAATATTCATTTAATGACTTCATTTTAGTGTGTTTGTGTTCTGTTAATATCTTTTGTTTACTCTCTGATGCTTGTCTGTTAGGTTCAGTTTAGGCAGTAATATTTATGCATATAGCAGCAACAAAAAGTATTTCACTATATTATACCATATTAATATTCTTGGAACTTTGATTTTTATGAATTCTTCTCGACAAAGAAATGCTATCTTTATGAGAACCTCCTAATAAAGCTATTATCTCTCATTTCAATATTCAACACCCATGGCCAAATCATAAATTACCCATCTATTAGTACTCGATTATGAATGTCAAATTTATTTGGTCTAATTGCATCGTAAATTTCCGTCAAGGATATCGTGTGAGATCATAGCATCGGTACCTATTTCATGTTTGTGTTTGAGAAGTACCATACTAGAAAGAAAGAAGTATTGGTTGTTAAAAAGAGTATAGTTTGAATAAAGTCATTTGGATCCTCTTAAGTGTAAATAATTTCACTTTAGCAGTCTTTCCGTCTTTATTCCTGTTCTAAAGTTTTAAAGCAATAGATGTTGGGTGTCGAATAATTTATTAAGATGTCTTTCCATCATTTTACTCTGTCAGGTGGTAATGGTGAGAATTACAGAGAGAGTAGTCAGTACTTACTTTGCCAGATTGTACCTTAGTCAGGTATTAACAGCTTGTTAATTCTAAATGATAAATGCCTTCATGTTATGCTTTTTCATTTATAAGAGTGCTCATCAAAGTTTATAATTCCTTCAGCCAGGGAAAAGGGATATTATTAGTGTGGATTTACGTCCCTCAGATGCCATTAATGTTGCAAATAAATGCAAGGTATGAATTCTATGGCGACCCTGCTAATATTTGTTGAGAAGTTTTTAATTTTGAATGAAGAATCTCTGAAGACTAACATAACTGTTCTTATTTAGAAATCCTAGTTTGTGCCAAGAAGTTAGCCAAACCCTCTTGTATGATTTTATATTTGATTTGTGCAGGCTCCAATATATGTAAGTAAAGAAATTGTTTTCACAGATGCTATAAGACTCAGCTATGGACTTGGAAGAGTGCAAAATAAAAAGGCTATTTATGATGTATTACTTGACAGGTATTGCATAGTTACTATGTCTTACTATGTCATATATAGCATCCTTGGCACCATAGATTCTATGTACAAGACTGCAAGTTTCCTCCTTTACATTAGGTATATCATTTTAGCCTAACATCATTCATTTGCTACAGTCCCACCGAAGGTCCAGATTCTGTAGCTCAAGAACTAAGTATGATGCATAATATGCATTTAGCCATCAAACATGAAAGATTCAAAGACGCAGGTAAAATATCACTTGGGCATGACTGTATTATGGTCACAATTTGTTGCCTTCTGCAAGCTGGAATACCTAAATCTTGGCTGTTTCAAACCTAAAGCTTGTTTGTTGTCTTTTGCAGCTATATGGAGAGACAAACTTGAAGATATTCGTAAATCATCTCAGGAGCACTAATTAGGTACATCCAAAATTGGCCTAGCCACTTGCAATTAGACTTAAAAAAAAATCAGTAAATAAAATTCCATATCTATTTGATTCCACTGTATATAGTTGTCTAATAATGTGTTGAAAATTCTCAGGTGGTGATGAAGGGTAAGTTCTGAAGAGGAACATAAGATTATCTTTTCCTGATAATTTTTCAACAGGAATATATTGAAGTATAAGTTACAGAAATGATGCCAAATATCATGTGGTGTTGTACAGTTGTGAATTAGAAGAGTCCTTAACCTTAGTTTGTATATATAATCAAATGTATTAAGGCCTAAAACCTGTGGAAGGTTATTACTTCCACTGTATACTTGATAATTGCAACACAATTGAGTATGTTTGCAATCTTTGACATGATGATCGTTAAATGAAATAATGAAAAGATTATTAGTGATTACAAGAATCTCATTTCTAATCATATTTATGCCAACAAATCAGTATCATTATACATTTTCTAACAATATAGAATCTGGATTTCTGCTCCTTTACCATAGCAAAGCATCCATGCCTTTCTGAATCAGCAGATCCTCCACCATCACTGAACTCTTCGCGTTGAGTTTTTCTATGTGATGATGTGCATTGACCCATTCACTTATATAACAGTAATTAAATCAAATAAACAAAATAGCTTGATATGATAGTTAAGTTTCTTGAATTCTTCTACCTATATAATTGCTTTGATCTTGAACTTCTCTCTATTGATTTGTTGTGTTTGTGTCAAATTTGGGAATATAAATGACGTATCAGTAGTATTTGACGCGTATATATACAGTATATGCGTGTAAATCTACTTGTTATGATAGCTAGGTTTCGTATTTTTTTTCTTCTTGATTAAGGGTTCTGATGTTGAGGACAAAATATCCACTGTTTCTTTATTCTTTCTCTAGATAAAAAGTGACACGTTAATATCATTATAAGTAAAAAACAAAAAAACACGTTATGTAATTATTTTTTATTTTGAATAAAACTTTATATCGCATTTACTGATTTTTTATTGTTACTTTTTATCTAAGAAATAAGATATTAATCAAATATGGTAATTAAGTTTTTTTGTATCGTATTTCAGTACAAATTTATTTTATTTTTGGATGGATTGCATATATGGATTGGTGATTTAATGCTGATCATATATTGTCATGTAATCCAATTGAATTTTGTTTACTAAATTTGGTTACTGTTAGTTTAGTAAGTCTGATTATTATGATGTAAAATAAAATTCTTATAAATGTCATCATTATGAATGTCTATCAAAGAAATTATATATATATATATATATATATATATATATATATATATATATATATATATATATATATATATATAGTTCATATTGTAATTGAAATATCGATTCAAAATATAAATAATAGATTATCTTCTTCTTTTTCTCTCTTATATTGTTTTATTCAATTTTATAACACGTAATCAGCACGAAGTTTCAAGATTTGAGATGATTAATATTTTTTTTCTATATTATATATTTTCTATCTGTTATTTATAATATATTGATGAGAAAAGAAAAAGAAAATTAATGATGATTATCAAGCATGTTTGAAGGATAGCAAAATAATATTTATATAAATTTCTAAAGAACTTATCAAACATTTCTGAAGGATAATAAAATAACAGGATATAGTTCATGAAGAACTTATCTAGCATCTGTGAATGATAGCAAAATAACAATATTAATGAATCACAAAGAATTATATCTATAATTTCATCAATATCCAATTCGAGAAAAATTGAAAGAATAATATTGAATACCTAAAAGGATTTCATAAATAATTTTTGTTATATCGATCTAAAAATTTGTAATATATTTTTTAGATCATTGTTTATAAAATAATTTTAATGCATCCCAAAAGGATGATTATATTTTTTAGATAATTATTTATAACAAATAATTTTAACGCATTTCAGAAATATGGTTATATTTTTTTAGATCATTGTTTATAACAAATAATTTTAACGCATTCTACAAGGATGGTTATATTTTTTTAGATCGTTGTTTATAACAAATAATTTTAAACCATCCCAGAAGGATGATTATATTTTTTTAGATCATTATTTATAAAAAATAATTTTAACGCATTCCAGAAGGATGATTATATATATTTTTTATATTATTGTTTATAACAAATAATTTTAACGCATTTCAGAAGTATGATTTTTTTTAAATAATCATTTATAAACTAATAATTTTAACACATCCCAGAAAGATGATATTTTAAATTATTCTTTATAAATATTTATATTATTATAATTTTATTCTCTATCATTTGACTGTGTTAGAAACTTCTTTAAATTGTTAGAATATAATTTGTTACATGTTTGAGATTATAAATCTATATATTTCCTAGAAAAAAAAGATCACAACATCCCTGAAGAATTATTCAAAAGAATGTATTTTTTTCATCATTTGTTATATCGTTCACTAAAAGCTATATATTTTACTAAAGGATTGGAGATATATTACATTCTTTTTATTGTTTTTGATGATTGAGCCATTGTCTATGTGTTTGGTGTTAAAATATTTTACTAGAAGAAATCTCGTTAGATATAATATATCACTTAATATATTTATGTATCACTTAACTAATGTTATGTTTTTTATTGCTGTCATTAAATTTCTAAATTAAGGAACTTTTTTAAATATTAAAGTGTGTTTGATATTTTAAGATAGTTTTATATTACTTAATTAATATTTTACTTTTATGATAAAATAAAATCGAATTAGTTCTTTTGGTTAAATGTGTGTGACCTGAATAGTATTATTATGAAATAAATTTAGATTTAATTAAATCATATAAAAACATGTGCGTATGATTTATGAAGATTTATTTATTAGAGAATAATATGGTTGATTCAAACAATTTAGAATAACTAAAATACATGTAAACCATAAGTTTACAAATCACACTTAAGTGTGTTGTTGGCAAAATCAATTGGGTCATCTCGAATGTATTATGGTGTAGATATTAATATTGAAAAATCTGAAAATCCAATAAGTTTTGTATGTTCCTAAAGGAAATTAAAGTTTTATAAGTTGAGTTTTTATATAACATATATAAGCTGATATTTGTGAATCAATACACAAATTATGTAGACGATTTAAACATTTTATAATATTAATTGTTACATTGACTTAGAGATCATGCATATACTTTTTGTCTACTCACAACCACAAGTTTATGAAATTGTTTTCTCAACCAATATTTTAAAAACCAGACCGGATGTCGAACCAGTAAGTTCAAGGTTCAATCGGTTAAACCTACGGTCGAACCGTTTATTAAATAGTTAACAATATAAAGATAAATTTTATAATCATGTGCTTATAAATTTTAAAAATAAATGTTTTAAAAATTCATTACAAACTTAATATTAGATATGTAAATATAGAAAGATTATTATTAGTATTGATTACCAATGATTATTAGAATCATAACCACATATTTGTACTGTGTATATAAATGACTATCACATGAATGAAAAGGCACGACCTAAATTATCTTACATGGTATCAGTCTTGGTTTGTTCCAAACCCTAAAATCAGCCGTAAACCTTCTTCCTTTCTATCCCTCATTCTTTTTCTCTTCAACTACCGCGAAACAACCATGACTACCACTTCTGATTCCTCTAACAACAACTCTTCCCCGAAATCATCCGGTCATACCGACCCTCCTCCACCACCTACCACTCCTACACCGATTCACCCTGCTCTCACTGTCCCAAATATTACTAATTTCATCAAGATTACTCTGAGCATTGAAAAGGGCACGTATAACACGTGGTCAGAACTTTTCAAAATTCATGCTCGAGTTTTTCAAGTAATTGACCATATCAATCCCTCTGAACCAGCCGCAGATCCCTCTCTCAAAACTACCGATCCACAGTTATGGCTTCGTCTCGACGCCGTCGTTTTGCAGTGGATATATGGAACAATCTCTGATGATCTTCTCAACACTATCATCGAACATAATTCCACCGCTGAAATCGCGTGGAATCGCTTATTCGACATCTTTTATGATAACAAGAATTCTAGGGCTCTCTACCTAGAGCAAGAATTTTCGCACTCATATGGAACAATTCTCTGATGCTTCCTCCTACTGTCAGCATCTCAAATCTCTCTCTGATCAACTCGCTAATGTTGGTGCCCCTGTATCGAATGAACGTTTAGTTCTTCAACTAATTTCGGGACTAACCGATGCATATGCTACTGTGGGATCTCAAATTCGTCATGCTGATTCACTTCCTCAGTTCTATAAAGCTCGTTCCATGATCATTTTGGAAGAAACAGCACTGCAGAAAAAGGTGTCAAGCTCAGTCGAAAATTCATCTTTCATGGCGTCTCACAATGACGCATCAGTTAATTCATCGGCATCCCGTCCTAACCGCGGTAACAACAGTAACCACAACCGTGGTGGCCGAAACAATGGCAGAGGACAGCGTGGACGAGGCCGAGGGCGAAACAATGGACGTGGCGGAGGTCGTGCTCCGCAACAGCAATGGCCTTCACCATATTACCCGCATCAGCAGTGGACTTATCCGCCATACCCAAATCAATATCAACAATGGAGCTCCCCGCCATGGCAACCATGGGCTACACCACCTTGTCCGTATCCAACAACAAGAAATCCAAAGGAACAACCCGGCATCCTTGGTCCCAAGCCATCTCATCAAGCTTATGTCGCCAACACAGCGCCAACCTCCTCATATGCTCCAAATCAAGCTTATGTCGCCAACACAGCGCCAACCTCCTCATATGCTCCAACAGATATTCAAGCTGCCATGCATACTCTCTCACTTTCTACTCCTGATGATCAGTGGTACATGGACACCAGAGCAACCTCGCATATGATGGCCAACGGAGGTAATCTCTCGTCCTATTTCAATATGAGTAATAATATTACTGTCGGTAGTGGTCAAAATATTCCTGTAATTGGTTGTGGACATGCATCATTACCAAATTC